AGTTATACTGATGAGGTCTACAAGATTGGATAGTGTCTTAAACCAATTTTGTTTGAGATATAAAAGAGAGAAGCAAGCAGAGACACATGGGGACTTCACGCCACCAAGAAAGCAGAGCCAGGAGCAGAGCATGTCCTTGGAACCTGAGATTCCTGTGCAGAGAATCTCCCAGACCAAGGGAAGATTGATGACATGGACCTTCCTCCAGAGTCAACAGAGAAACCATTACCCTGAAGCTGACGCCCTGAATTTGGACTTGTAGCCTACTGGACTGTAAGAGAATAAACTTTTCTTTGTTAAAGCTATCCATTTCTGTTACAGCAGCACTAGATGACTAAGAGAGACAGAAAATATTTTATGAACAGACATCCTTCAGAGAAGTGTTTATGATTTTAAAAAAGTTGGAAGCAATCTATTGCCTAAAGAAGTTATGATGCAGCCATTAGCGGGAGTGCCCTGCAAGCATTCCCAGTTTACAAAGCATGTGTGGCAAGGAATAGTGCTCCCAGAGTAACTCTGTTTGGTAAAAAGTTTCAAAAGGACCACACACTATGTGAAGACAGTAGTGTAAATAGGACAGACCAAACTGGAAAAGATTTTTTTTTTTTTAAGGGGAAAAGGAAAACTTTAATATCATTCCAGATAATTGTGAATATACTTCTTTGATATTACACCAAAACTTGACAAATGATGGTTTCTTAAAAGTTAGTTACAATGAGAACTCAAACCATGTTAATAAACTTCTGGGCTATTACATTAAAATCCCCTGGTCTCTCTCTCACTTAAAATGGATTTTCAGTCATGCATAATTTTATAACATCATGCAGCAGTCATTTGGAAAATATTGGTTCACCAAGTTATGTAGAACTTCTAAATGTTGGCATATGACATTTTATGATATCAAAAAATTCACATTTTTTAATGTCATCACCTGTCACATCAGAAGAGAAGCTGTCAAGTTCATGAAGGTAGGAAAGAGTTCTCCATAATCCTAATTTTTGCCTGAAAGCTTGAGTTTTGTCACTGTCAATAAACACTGCCAGTTGCTTTTTGAAGTAACAGACACATTTTATTCATTTGAGAAAACGTCTCCAAATGCTTACGTTTGAATAGCCACAGTTTTTCTGTCAGTCATTCTTTCAAATCAAAAAGGCCTGTGACTGTGGGGACCATGGTCTCGGGGAACATCCAGCTCAACTGGCATAACACAGTCCACAAAGACAATGTTCTACATTCCATGTTGGCGAGCAGTGCCCGGGGTCCCAAAAGCCCGCGAGCAGCCATCCAAGACACTCCACTGGTCCCCACCCACCCCGGGAACAAGGGAGAAGGAAGAGAACAGGACACAAGGAAAAGACCAGTCCAAAGGACTAATGAACCACAGCCACCAAGGCCCCCACCAGACCGAGCCCAGCACAGCCAGATGGCGCCCAGCCACCACCACCGACCGCCCCGACCAAGACCACAACAGAGGGTCCCGGACAGAGCTGGAGAAGGATGCAGAACAAAACTGCAACACAAAAAAAAAAGACCAGGTCCACTGGCCCGAAAGAGATCGGAGAAACCCCGAGAGTACGGCCCCCAGACACTCCCCCAGCCCAGTGGTGAAGTCACCCCAGAGGTCCACTGCCCAGCCAGGGACTGGACAGCCCCACGAAACAAAACGGGACCAATGAGGCACAGCAGTCCAGGGACAAGGACCAGAAGGCAGAAGGAGGGAGGAAAGCTGGCGACAGGGAACCAAAGGCCGAGCAAGGACAGTGCCGATAGGCAGTGGGGCCGCCAACCACCGTCACAGGGCAACACATGCACCAACCGCTCAATGAGAAAACACCCTGCTCTGCAAACCCCCATCCAAAGCGAAAACAGCAGCACAACCGGAAGAGCACAGCCGATGCCACCGAACTGCGCATGCAGAAATTCATAAAACAGTGCATCCCTGGCGATGCACAACCCCACCAAAAAAAAAAAAAAAGTTGAGAAGGGAGAGGGTCGACATGCCGCGGGGCCGTCAACCAACGTCACAAAACAACATGCGCACCACTGTCTAATGAGAAACCACCTGCCCTGCAAACCTTCACCTGAAGCACAACAACAACAACAAAATGGCCTGTGAAAAAGTAGCTAGGTCAGCTCCCAACTCAAACAATCACACAAATGCTTGTCTGCAATTAAACTATCATACTTGGGTATGCAGCAAAGCACATTAAGTGCACCTCCCATTTTGTCATCCAGGATACCAAAAAGGTGCATACTCTAAGGTCAAGATTTAATGAAATAAGTCTTACCTCCTCGTCAAATACATTTTTAAGTGAAACTGGCATTAATTTTTTTTTTTTTTTGAATTTTGACTACTATAGCAGTATAATTTGGTACCTCTGCCTTGATTTGGGCTAAGATTCAACCTGTTTTATTCATCAATACTTTTGGCACCATCAGTGCAACTGTCAACACAGTAAAAACAGCAATTAATGTCTTAGTATTATTATAAAAATATCTTTGAATTTCATTCTGGGCACTGCTTTCACTGCATCCCAAAGGTTTTGTTATGTTGTGTTTCCATTTTTGTTTAATTCTAAGTATTTTTTAAATTTCATATTTGATTTCTTCTATGACCCATTTGGTCTTTTAGTAGTGTGTTATTTCCATGGATTCATTTATTTTTCCATATTCTTTTTGTTATTGACTTCCAGCTTCATTCCATTATGGTCAGATAAGATGATTTGTATGATTTCAATCTTTTTGGATTTATTGAAATCTGCTTTGTGTCCTAAAATATGGTCTATTCTGGAGAATGATCTGTGTTCATTGAAGAATGTGTATTGAGCTACTGCTGGTTTGTGTGTTCTATAAATGTCTGTTAGGTCCAATTGGTTAATGATGTTATTCAGGTCTTCTGTTGCTTTATTCATTTTCTTTCTAGTTGTTCCATTCATCATCAAAAGTGATGTATTAAAGTCTTCTACAATTATTGTAGGTCTATTTCTCTCTTTAATTCTGTTAGAGTTTGCTTTATAAATTTTGGGGCTCTGATGTTAGGTACATAGATATTTATAATTGTTATGTTTTGGTGAACTGAGCCTTTTCTCGTTATATAATGTCCTTGTCTCTCCTAATGAATTTTGATTTAAAATTTGTTTTGTCAGTTATTAATATTGCTATTCCTGCTCTCTTTTGAGTACTGTTTGCCTGGTATTCTCCCCCACCCCATCGTTTGACTTTTAACCTATTCATGTCTTTGTGTCTAAGGTGTGTCTCTTGTAGACAACATATGGATAGGTCATTTTTTAATCCATTCTTCCACTTTGTCTCTTGACTGGAACATTTAATCCATTTGCACTCACTGTAATTACTGATAAAGGATTTACTTCAGCCATTTTGTTACACTTTTCTTTTTGTAAGGTTGATGGTTTCTTGGTTCCTCTTTACCTTCATTGCTGAGTTATCTTTAAATATAAATTTTTCCCTTCTATTTATTATTGTTGTTTTTGTGATTACTGAGTCTTATTGTTTCCCTTCTTTACTTTGGTGAATAGATTTACTCACTTTGTGGTTACCATGAAGTTTAAATTTAACATACTACATTTGAAACAATTTGTTATATCTTGAAACTGCCTTAACTTCCACAACATGTGAAAATTCTATATCTACACCAATCACCCTCCCTTTTATTTTGATGTTGTCGATTATAACTTTGAGAGTCCCAGTAATCTCATTTTAAATTTATTTTGTTGTTCTATGTATTCAGGTAACTGTTAAGTGTTATTACTTTGGGTAGTTGGCTGGCGTCACTGGATTTCTTTCTGGAGGACTCCCTTTAATAGTTCTTGTAGGGCTGGACTGGTTGTTATGAATTCCTTTAATTTCTGTTTATCTGGGAATATCTTAATTTCACCCTCATTTTTGAACAACAATTTTGCTGGGTATATTATTCTTGGTTGACAGTTCTTTTCTTTCAAGACTTTGTATATATCATCCCATTGCCTTCTTGCCTGTATAGTTTCTGATGAGAAATCAGCAGTTAATCTTATTGGGGCCCCTTTGTAAGTGATATTTTGCTTTTCTCCTGCTGCTCTCAAAATTCTTCATCTTTGGTTCTGGAAAGTTTGATTATGATATGTCTTGGTGTATTTCTCTTAGGGTTTAACGTATATGGAGTTTGCTGAGCTTCTTCAATGAAAATCTTCTTGTCTTCCATGATGTTTGGGAAGTTTTCTACCATTATTTCTTCAAAGATTTTTTCTGAAGTTTTATTACTCTCTTCTTCTTCTCGAATTCCCATTATGCGTACATTGTTTTTCTTGATGGTGTTCCACATAACCCTTAGGTTCTGTTCGTGTTTCTTCATTCTTGTTTCTATTTGTTCCTCAAACAGAGTAATCTCAGAGGTCTTGTCTTCTGTTTTGCTGACTCCTTCTTCCAATGTTTCAATTCTACTTCTGTGTTCTTCCATTGAATTGTTAAATTCTGTTATTTTATTATTTAGCTTTGGAATTTCTAGTTGTTTTTCATTTAAGGTTTCTATCTCTTTACTGAGTTTCTCATTTTCTTCTTGTATTATTTCCCTGAATTCTTTTAGAACTTATCCTGTGTTTTCCTTTATCTCTTTGAGAAAACTTAATACTAGGTTTCTGAAGTCTTTGTCAGGAATTTCATAGCAATAACTGCCTGAAATATTAGGTCCCTTTTTCATAGGTGAATAAACAGAAAACATCCACTGTCCTGACAATTCCCAAACCTCCATATCTTTTACAATTCCTTCCAGAAGTTTCTTTTCTTCTTTCTGTTCATCAGGGCTAAGTGAAGCAAATAGGTTCTGAGACAATCCAAACTCCCTGTCCCTGCTAGCTGAAGTCCCAGACTCAAAAGAACCTAAGAATGACTCCCTTGATCTCTGCTGCCCACCCCACCCCCACATGGAGTGGATTTGGAGAAACTGGATGGCTGTATCACACTGGAGTATCTCTGGTTAGTGGAATTCCATCCACGCCAGTTACTACCTGAGGGCCGTTGCTGAGGCTGCTGCCATCCCCCGTTCGCACCCTTGGCACCAGGATGTTCATTCCAGCACTGGTCTCCAAAGCAGCACCAGCCTTGAAGGAAGAATTGGCAAATGGTCATTGAGATGGTTCACCTACAGAGTGGTCTTCAGCCAGCACGCCCAGCAAGCAGGGAGTCCCGATCAACTGAAGGTGCTCAGCCCCTCTACTTTGACCTGGGAAAGATAATTTGAGAGCTAATTGATTTTTGCTTCCCCTTTTTGGTTTAATCTTCAAAATATTTTACAGTATGCCTGTGCCTCTACTACAACAGATTAGAAAGTGTTCCAAGAAAAATTAAAAGTGTGCTCTGGGTCTCAACTCTCTCCCTAGGCCCCACAGACACCTTCCTGCTGAGGTAGCCCCTAGTTCTAGCTCATCTTCAGGCTGGATGCAGGGCATTTCTCCATAGCCACCCTCCCAAGGGACCCTCAAAGTAGCCTCCTCACTTCCACATTCTCCTGACCAGCAGCACCAGGGACCACCCCAATCTCCATACCTGGTGCATGTGTGCAACATTCACAGATGGCAACCCTGAAGCTCTGGCTCCATGCCAGCCTCTGGTAGCCCCTCTCCTGGTATGTGTCCCCTACATGCACAGAAGTTGTCTCCTGCACACTTGGAGACTGGTCACAATTGGGGCCCGTTCTATGCCTCTCATCCATCCCTCTCTAACAGAAAGTGCTTCCCAAATGCTCCTTCATCCCAGGCCATCCTCATCCCAGGACGTTCATAAGGTCTGGTCCCAGCCCTGTGTCCAGCAGACAGAAGGTCCCACAGGGGCCACTGCCTCATCTCCAGACCCTAGTCACCCAAGGCATGAGGTACATCCCAGGTTGATCCCGAAGCTGCAGCTTTCAGCAGACCCAACTTCTAGTGCGATGTAATACCCTAATGGCTTCCAATCCACTCGGCCAAGAGGAACACAGAGAACCAGATGGAATCAGCTCAAACCCCCAAAGGCCCCCTGGAGCAGGAGGGACTAAAGCCTGCACAGACACCAGCAGGAAAACCACCACTCACACTCTGGACCCTACTCAGGGTTTTGTCCACCATAGAGCTCCTCCTTGGCCACAGTGGATCCCCCAGCACTCACCCAGACCACAAGCAGCAGCCTTGGAGAACAGCTGTCTCTTGGCTCCCAGAGGGCTGGTCAGAGTTACCCCTCCTCACCTGACCTCCACACCAAAACCTATGGAACTCTCAGAATCCCCGCTGAAGAAGGTGGTCGTGGTTGTCCCAGGCAGGAGGATTTTGTGGGGCTATGTATCACTGTGATGATATTGTGGTTGGGGTCACATACCACAGTGACACAGTGCCTGCCCAAAAGCCCAACCCAAAGACTGTGGTGCAGCACCCTAGGGTGCAGAAACGTGGTGCCTATCAACTCCCACAGGGCAAAAGTCATCAAGCTTTCCACCCACCCAGGGAAGCTGGAGTTGGGAGGAAAAGGGACAAGATGTCCCACAGATGACAATCAAAAAAGAGGTCCAGCTCCTGGGGTAGCAGGGGCGGTTGGAGGCCTGCTGACCAATGGTCTTAGATATCTAGTGCTACTGTAACAGCAATACCACAAGTCAGTGGTGTTAACAAACAGAAGCTTATTCTCTCACAGTCTAGTAGGCTACAAGTCTGAATTCAGGGAGCCAGTCCCAGGAGAAGGCTTTCACTCTCTGTTGGCTCTAGAGGAAGATCCTTGTCATCAATTTTCCTGTGGTCTAGGAGCTTCTCAACACAGGGATCTCAGGTCCAAGGAAGCTGCTCTGCTCCTGGCACTACTTTCTGGGTAGCATGAGGTGTCCCAGTTCCTCTGCTCCCTTCTCTCTTTTATATCTCAAAAGAAATTGACTCAAGACACAACCTAATCTTGTGGATTGACTCCTGCCTCATTAACATAACTGCCTCTAATCCTGCCTCATTAAAATCATAGAAGCAGGATTTAAAACACAGGAAAATCACATCAAATGACAAAATGGTGGACAATCACAGAATACTGGGAACCATAGCTTAGCCAAATTATGCACATTTCTGGGGGACACAATAAAATCCATAACACAAGCTCTGCACTGGGGAGGTGGAACCTAGGCAGGTATTCACTGAGGTATTTTGATCTTTCCTAGTGTGTGTACAGACAACACCAAAGGGTCACATGGCAAGTGATCACATGGTAAGCCCAGCCTGGTAGGCATGGGGGGAGAGGGAGAGGGAACACTGCCAGTCCATTTACAGTCTTCGTTATATATTAAAATTTTCACCAGGTAAGAGGAGTGCATTTATAATGGGATTTATACTGAATGAATGAAAGTGTATTTTTTGAAAACTTACCCCTTAGTAGTGCTGGAGAACCACTCCAGTTCCTGAGCTGTGACTTCTGCCCCTCTGTGGAGCTCAGAGTCTCCAGAAACAATCCACCCCTGACTCCTGGAGTGAGAAGCCAATAAAAGAGCAAAGGGACCCTGAGAAGGGACACCAAGACACAAGTCAGAGGTGGAGGCAAGTAACACTCTAGGGGCATTAATGTCAAGGCAAGCTTGGGAAGACATGGGAGGCAGGGCCTGAGGAGGCTGCTGACCCAAAGCCACAGGTGGGAGTTGTTCCTAGGACCCAGGTCTCTGCCCCAAGGCACACCCTCCACTCTCACAGAATAAGGAGCAAACTTCCAGTTCACAGTCCTAGGTGTCTCCCTCCCCTGGGCTGGAGAACCCATGGCTTCCTACCTTTGCCTCTGCTCCCTCCTCTGGCCTTCCTGGGACAGGTACTGCTGGCTGCTAGGATATAGAAGGCCCCCAAGTAATCCATGCGCAGTGGGGATGGGCACTCACCCACACTGGGCACCACTGTAGTGGCGAGGGGCTGATTTCCAAGATGGATAGACACCTTCCAGCTCAGGAGGAGTCCCAGGACAGGCTGATATAGCCATGCCACCCTGAGATGCCCCTCAGGTAGTTCAGCAAGGAACCCCTCAGGAGGGGAGCCCATTACCAAGCTCAAGTCTACTTCTAAGGCTACTTCCTGCCATATTGCCAGAGGGGGATTGGGGGCAGGCATGTACCACTGTGGTATTACTGTGATAGTTCTAGTTGTTATGCCCACAGCCTCACAATGCCTTGCAAAAACCCATCCCTATGCCCCAGACCCTCCCACCAGGAACAGTGGGCCCACCCAGGATTTTGAAAGGTGTTATGGGTTGAATTGTGTCCCTCAAAAATATGTACTGTAAATCCTAAACCCTACACCTGTGGCTATAATCCCATCTGGGAATGGATTTTCTTTGTTTTGTTAATGAGGCAGTATTAGTGTAGGGTGTGTCTTGACTCAATCTCTTTTGAGATAAAAAAGAGCAGATTACACAAGCAAAAAAGTACATGATACAAGCCACATGATCTCCCAAAGTACTTAGGAATAGAAGCTGAAAAGAGAAAAGGACCTTTCCCTAGAGCATACAGAGAGAGAAAACCTTCCCCTAGAGTCAGCGCACTGAATTCTGACTTCTAGCCTCCTAAAGTGTGAGAAAATAAAATTCTGTTTGCTAAAGTCACCCACCAGTGGTATTTCTCTACAGCAGCACTAGATAACTAGACAAATGGGGACACACCACCATGGATTCGGAGGGGTAACACAGCCCTGCGGCCTATGACTCAAACCAGCAGGTATAGTGCCACAGTGGTGCCATGTCACCCAGGACTCCCAAGCTCCTAGAGGGTCACCACAGAGATCCCATCAGGGAAGTTCATACTGGTCTTGAAACAGATGGGTCAAAGCCAACCCCCAATTCAGCCTAATCTTGCTCATAGTTGGTACACTCCTCCTGACACCCCTCCCATGACCAATGTCTGCTGGCTTCCAGTGGACAGCCCACAAAAGTTCCCCCTCTTCCCTCAGGGCTGGTCAACATATGGAAACCACAGCTGGGCATCTCAGACACACCACTCTGCAGTGGCCCCCCAATTTTGGACAGAGGCAAGCGGAAGGTTGGGCTGCCTCTTGTGCCCCGGCATTGTCCAAGCCCTGCAGTCACTAGGCCTCTTGGTCATACTTCCCTGCCCTCTGAGCCACCCTGCCCTCCAAAACCCTGCACCACACACCACCCTGTGCCCCAAGCCCAGCCGGGCAGCAGGCTAGGGTCAACCTTGACTCTTGCAGCCTATGAGGAGGGTGGGTAGGGCTGAGTGATTTGGTTTAGAATCCTTTCTCCCAGTGGAAAGGCCAGGTGGGTGGCTGTAGGAGAGGGGCCAGGTAGGCACCACTGAGGACTGGGGTGTCCAGCAGGCCCATGGGCACTAAGCAGCCCCTGCCCATCAGCCCTGGCTCATGAGGTGGCACCTCCAGGGTCCTAACCAGGGGGGTGCACAGGAGAAGTGACAGTGTTGGTAGGACGCTGGACAACCAGGTTCAAACAGCCAAGGCCTGCGTGGCCCCTTTTCTGGGAACAAGTTATGTAGAGCCCCTGGACCAGCTTGGTCTTCTATGAACCATGCCACTCACTCGACCTCCCCTAGGAGCGAACCAAGGTCCATGCTCACACTTCAGAAAAAAATAGCCTTCCAGAAATGGCTACTTCTCCTCCTAAGTCTCTCCATCATGCATGAAAATGGCCCACAGAAGACAGACCCCCTCGGGCAGCCCTCCTGCACAGGTCCCACCCCAGGGAGTGAAGTGCGGACACTCCCCTATGCAGCTGCACCCCATGACCACAGGCGCCGCGGGCTGGTCTTCTCCCTATCTTGCAGAGTACAGTGTCTTGGGTGCCAGGAGAGTAGGAACTGGGCCTGGCTGGCTGGCTGCCTGCCCTATGTACAGAGAAGACCACTGAGCAGAGATCTGGGGTACAGGGCACTGGTTACCTGGGCAGCTGAGCCCTCCAAGAAGCCTGGAGTAGGGCACTGGCCCAACAACACAGGGCTTTTTGTCAAGGACTCTCCCTTTTTGTAACTATAACTACCACAGTGACAGACCTGCGGCAAAAATCCGACCTTCAGCTCCCAGCCCACTATGGCCAGGGTCAGCACCAGACCCAGGGATAGCATCTATCAGACCCTTAGCTGGGGGCTTCCCAGACACTTCACACATGTACCCCAGCCTGCACTTGGACCCCAGCAGCCCTGGATCCCAGCATTTGCCCTGCCACAGGAATTCACCCAAGACAGAAGACAGCACAGGACATCTCACCCGTAGTCAAGCTCTCATGGGCAGGAACCCCCCCCCCAGGACAGAGACCTCTATGGAGGCCACTGTCTTGCTAACGACCCTACCCAACACCCCTGAGTAAGCACTGTTGCCAGTGAACCCCCAACAAGCATGACTGCAGCAGAGTCCCCACCTCATTGTACAGGAGCCCAGACTTGGAGAGGGGTTCTGGGGAGGTAAGGTAGGAAATCAGTGCCACCTCGAGCATCCAGTGAGTGACAGAGGAAAGGAGAACACTGCAGCTGGGCCAGCATTCACTGCACAGAAGTTCACTGAAGGAGCATATCGGGCAGGGTTCCTTTGGAGAGGAACTGATCTTTAGCTTATCATGGACCCCCATCCACCTCGAGGTCTCCTGGGGCTTCTCTCCAGAAGAGGGTTAGTGCAGCACTCTCAGCACAGCAGCATCAAAATGAGGTCATCGTGAAGGCTACTGCTAGAAATCTGCCAACCCCAGGTAAGGGGGTCCCAGTGCATCCCCTCCAGGAGCTGGCCCCATAGGAACACCTCCTCAATTTTCTAGGCCAGAAATCAGGTGGAGTCAGGTGGGACCTGAGCTCAGGTGGGTCCTGATGCAGTCTCTCTAACTTGCCCAGCCCACACTCTGCAGGGCTTCCCTCCTCCTCCCAGCCCAGTACCAGAGCCCTACAAGCTGGCATCTACTCCTCTTCTCGTTAGCATCCATCCCATCCTGCCCCAAGCCCCCACAAGCAGTACAGGACAGATGGAGTTCCTACCATCTGGCCTGTGGTCCCTCATAAGGCCCCCCAGCATCCCGAGGTCGGCCAGTGCAGCCAGACCGCCATCCATGCCGTCCCCAGTCTCCTGCTCCCCCATGTCCTCTTTTCCACCTCACCCTTGGATGTCCAGCAAGCCCTGACAGCCTGAACACTCCCCCCGTCAACATCCCCAGCCTACCAGCTAGCCCAACAGCTGTGGTCACATCGTGAGGCTGGCCGCCTGAACTCTTTCTGCTTCTGTGGATGCAGCCAGCCTGCCCTGGCCCAGCCCCAGTTATTGTCACAGAACATCCAGCTGTGGTAGATTACTATGACTATAGTGACAACAGTGGCACCACCCATAGCAGGAGCCACCTACCTACACCAGCCTCAGTGCCTCCTAGGCCCTGGGGAGGGGGGCAGTTGGAAGGTGCCCTTCTGAGACTCTGGCCACCTGGAGGGAGGGGATAGTTGTGCTTGGGTGGGGACCCCAGTGATGACCCCATGGGCCCAAGGATGGTTGAAAGGGCAGTGCAGGGCCTGGCCTTGGACTAGGCAAAGGCTGAGGGAGGCTTAGGGCTGGAGTCAGGTTTGTACACAATTAACCCCTCAGCCTCTGTCAGCCCAATTCACAGGAGCTCTGTCATCATTCCCTTACCGTGGAGAAACAGAGGCATGAGCAGTGAAAGACCTGTTATATGCTCACCCAGACTGCTAAGGAAAGAACTGAGAGCCCCAGCTGCTGGCCCAAACCACTGGAACAATTCCTGGAGACCAAGGACTCTGAGCCATGGGCCTGGAGAGTGTGCCCCCACACTCTCGCAGGGGGCTTGCATTAAGACCCCACTCTCTTTTCCTGGGGATATGCTTCCCCTACACCACTAATAGCTCAGCCTCCCAGGGGCACCTGGCCCAGCTTTCTGAGACCCTCTGTGGCCCTCCAGTCCCTGCGGGGGCAGGCAATACTGTCTAGGTCCCTGTCACTGTGGGTGGTTGAGTAGTAGCAGTCACCATGGTGGCATGGCACCTACTCAAAATCACTTGGTTCCCAGCAGCCCTATTGGTAGCTAGGCCTGGTTAAATAATGCTGTCCTCTCAAAGGTCCTGGATGTTGAAAGTGAGATCCCCTCTCCATAACAAAACTTAGGAGGCACAGCCACACACCTGATAACAGCAAAGACGCTCACCCACTGCCCACCTAGGAGGAATGCATGCCAGAGAGGGCTCTGGCTGTCCATCTCTGGCTGAGCTGAGTGGTGCCAAGACCTCAGGACCCCAGGCCCAAGCTTCCCCAGCACCACCCCTAAAAGTTCAGAAACCAAACACTGCTTCTCTCAGCTGGGGAGTCTCAGGCCACCCTTCCCCTTTCCTATGCTGGCTCTTAGTCCAGCCTCATGGATTCTCCTGTCCCTGAGCAAGGGCAGGAGAAGACTCAGGGCCTCTGAGGTTGTGAGGCTACCCACTTCCTGGTGGTGGCCAGTGTGACCTCCAGTGTTGGGAAGGGTGAGGCTTTGCTAACAGGACCTTGCTGAGGCCTTGTTAACCGGGCTT